CTAGTATGTTTGAGTAAGTTTCTCCAGGGTGATTTACCGAAAATAACTCTAAGTTCATTTGCACCCATTTGCTTGTAGGTGAAGTTGTACATGTAGAAAAACCTTGAGAATTTTGCTGTACTTTGGTTGTGTCAATGTATCGCTCCTTTGCTGAAACTTGAGACGCTAATACAACCAACACTCCTGAGCATGTTTATAGTAGAGCAAGAGCCATTTTGTAGAGTGAACTGGAGATTCTGTAAAAAAATTAAAAGCACAGTCGGAAATTTCCAACTCGGATTTCTGCCATTTTATATCGTTGTACTGATTTAAAACTCGAGATGTATAAACACTAATTAAAACACGTATCCCAAAAAAGGTGAGATTCACTTAGTAAGAACAACTCTCTTCATAATGCATATTCGTGCATATTCAAGGTAGCAAAAAAGACAGGCAAACTGAAATACTAGTGTCGTATAATATTCCCATATATTTGGCGAATTTCTGTTATTTATGTCTGTCAAAAGAAGGGTTTGGTGTGGACTATATACAGTGTGAATTGTCTGTTGCTGACATGTGACGCGCACGAGTTTACAGTTAAACAAAGGAACGGACTGGACGGTTGACTGAGCATTTGGGGGGGGGGGGGCTTGTATTCTCCAAACAGAGCTTTTAGACTTCCGTGTTCTAGGCATTTTTTTCAGGCAATTTTTGCACTGGTATCTTTTATGTACTGTCCTAGAAGATCTTTAGACTTCGGCTTATTTTTGGTCAGTTTTAGGCGTTTTTTGGGGGGAGGGGCTCTCTTTTATGCTGGTGTCTTTTTAATAATTGGGAGATAAATGGTAACTCCGAGTCTGATACTGCACTACCTGGTACTACCTGGCACGTTTGATACTGCCTTTGCAGGCGCCGAAAGATCTGCTGGGAGATTAGGGTTTATGTCTGGCCAAAACTGGACAGACTGGGAGATTTGATGCTACAAATGTCAATTGATGAGTCGTTCAAATTAACGTGACAAGATTGTGACAGCGATAAGAATAATTTATATAACAACAGAAACAACAAGAACCGCTGTATATGCGTGAACATGCTACTCTGCAAGCAGATAGAGGTTTAGCCTTTAGGCTTCAGCTACCCCAAGGGAGAGACGCATACTCACGTAAACACATGCATGGTTTTAATAACATTTTTCACAGCGTCTATTAAAGACCATAGGTGTATGGATCTACTAAACTGTAATATTCAATATCACTCCTGATAGTGCAATAATTTCTCAGAAAACAAACAAACAAACAAACAAGCGAAGAAACAAAAAAGGGGCAGTCAATAAGCCATTTGACATTCCCTCACCGTATCTGCTAGGAGACTAGGTGTAAACATCGACACTGGCCGACTGGGTTGACCTTCCTTTTCTGTGTTGTGTAATCCTATTAAACTGTACGCCAGCCTGGTGTCCTGTCTAACCGTGGTTTGGGCGGGCACTCTTGAGTTTCGCATGGCGTCGGAGTAGCCTCTACCAGGCCTCGGAAGCGGCTGGAAAGAGCTGAGTATTGCCCAATAGACACTCAGATAACATGCCAGGGAATTGGTCCGCTAAAGGAGTAAAGTAGTGCATTTGCCGCCTCCCGAAATGTACTCCTAAGCGCGGACCAACTCTCCTGAAAGGTTATCTGTCTATTTGGCAAATTTCTGCCCTTTTTGCCGCTTCCGAAGCCTGGTAGCGGCTGCCTAGTTGAGGCGGGCGCGCGGCGCAAAGCTCCTGCAGTCCCGAAGAGAGCCCATCCAAACCACGGCAGACCGGACACCATGCCAGCCTCAACTGTAACGCCTGATTGCATCAGTCGGTCGGATCACTGACCAACTAGTGTGAGACAAGACATACACACTAATTTGCCACCGCAGGAGGTACAGTACCCTCAGGTTATCTCCAAGCAGATCTTACGGTGACAAATGTGTTACCAAGATAAGACAGTGTCAAATAGACAACTTCTGACAGGTAAGACCTACCGAAGGGAGGGCGTCAAATGATTTTGTAGCATTTCGGTGGAAGAGGGGACAGACACACAGATGCAATAAGTCTCCGAGCCTATACCTACAGTAGTACGCCTGTTGAATACCCAGTATGTGATTAACCCATTGCACTGAGTACTGACTACAGGGTTGATTACAACGTCCTTATTTTATAGGTATACTCACACTCACGCGCTAATCTTGACTAGCATACTAGTATTTTTTTCTAAGGACGAAACGTCCTCTAAACTGAAAATGTTTTTATGATGTAATGAATTCTAGTGTTAATAACTGATATGCTGCTCTAAAAATCTACAGAGCCACATTTTGTAAATATCAACGAAATTCGACTGTAACAAAATGTATGTCTGCCGGCTGAATGATAAAGATTCATTCAGTCTTTCATTCATTCTGTCATCCATGTGCATGTGTTTGAGGATGAGTTCCATATTTTGCAGTCCGGGAAAGAGACTGTTGCGGTAGAAAGGACTTAGAAAAAGGAATTTAGACGGTGTGACGATATGAACTAGAGGAGAACCTAGAGGCACGATGAAAAGCTCTTCTTCTGAACATGTACAGCGCCTGTGAAAGTATCTGTAGAAGAGAGACAGGGAGGCAACGTTCGGTCTGTGTGAGAGGGAGCTTTGCGGCCAAAGCTAAGCCACTGACATGTCTGGTCAGTGTCTTAATTACACCTGTAACATCGCGAAATATAATAGTGGTATGTGCTTGGAGATAAGTTTGATGTGAATGCCCGTTGTCATATATCATGTCAGTCGTTGGTCATATATCACAAGTCACGTGCTTTGGGTTGTCTAAATGCGGGTCCCTGTATTTTTGGACAGCTTTTCATGATTAACGACCAAAACGAACGGACAACAACCCACGCGTGACATATACAAGCCCTCACTCTTATGATATATGTATGTTTATTGTACCATGTATGCGTAAACTACATATACGTGTATAGATTAGTCAGGACTTCAATGGTGTAAACTTTTATCTTTTTGATACATTTGGTTTGGCCCTTGGTTACCTTTTCTCTCATGACGTCAATGAAAAGCGGCCTGAAGGCAGATTTGAGTGTCTCATGAATAAAGAATGGTTCAAACAAACAAACAAACAAACAAACAAACAATGAATGCATGGAAGCATACACGGGGACGTGACTTTGATGCTTGTCACTGGAGACGTATTATAATTTATAACTTTGAGAAAAACTACTCGTATGACGGTGTTTGATAGACATTTTAACATACAGTAATTCTAAATGCCTAAGGCTAAGGTCTTAACATTTTATGTGAGGCACTGCTCAGGTAGTAATGTCGACATGTCATAGGTGAACGTTCGCAAGAATGTTGGTATTAGATATATAAATCTATTATAGGGTGACTGTCAACAACACTTAATAGTATCATAAGTCAACGTTTACATTTGTTTGGAATAATCAAGGAGGTTTTTCAAACCTCCTCGGAATGATTTTCCAGCCCAAGAATTCGTATGCTGTTCTTGATGTTATTATCATTTTACCATTACGGTTGGCAGAATTATCGTTTTCTTTCCCCGCGCTTCAAATGTATTGACCCGGTGACAGAAAAATATTCGCCCTAGAGTATCTACATTGTATATTTCCAGCAGATTTTTGCCACACCTTTCAAGGCCATGCAGACACATTTCTAAGATGGCCCCGGTCGCTCGACCGATACTAATTTAGTAATTAGCTGTCAATCACCATTAGCAGGTCAACCAATGGTAGCATGGCAATTAGCAGTTTGGCCAGTTAATGAGAAATTGGCCGCAGGTCCGTCAAATATTTTTTCCACTTATGTAATATTTTTACCAGTTGCAAGTGCTACTATCATAACACACGAGACACAAGTACTTCACCTTTGTTACTCCGTGAAGGAGGTCAGGACCTCCGGACGGAGTGTTGTAATCGGCTGATTTTTCATGTTCGCAGTCAAAACACTGGGTTCTCTTTGTGTAATCGGCACGCAATTTTATACGCCGTCTGCGGGCATGCCCGTGTTGATGCACGAATGTGTATTTTTGCCGTTGCTGCTTTCGCGGTCAATGTAATATCGCAGACGCACCCCTACAATTACGAGGCGAATTGGAATGGTCCAGAAAAACGCGTTGTTTGGAATAGCAGTGGGGTTCAAAAAAGTTCATGCAGATACGGGGTGGTTTTTATAAGTGGTTCCAGATGTTTTTGCCCATGGTTAAGAGATGCCAAGTTTTTTGGAAGATGTTCGCAGCCAAAACGCATTCTTCCGTACGTCGCATTTCTGTGTAATTTCGCATGTGGTGTTGCATTATGTCCGGGATGATGCACGTCTTTTTATTTTTACCGTAGCTGTTTTGATATTGGAGTAAATGCTTATTTTCGAAACATCCCCATTTCTTTGAAATGGTTTCGTCCGTTTATGCAACTGGTACTGCGCTAATGACGACCAGTCGCGCTGTCCTGATACACCGCGAATGTGCGAGTGTTCCCTGTAGACAGTCCCGGGAGTCATTTTTTTGCACATTCCAGGAGCCAAACCAAAATACGTTCATGAACCGAGTCCAAAAAACCGAAACGTGAAAATCGGATGATCGGACCTGATGTACATTTCTCTTTCTATAGATTGTACACACAATACACACATCTTTAGATAATCTGGCCATGGCAGGTTAAAAAAAAAGTAACCCTGAATCATACTAGATTAGCGTAAATGCATGTTAATGCGTTCAAAACAAGAAAAAAATTGTTTCCGGGTATTAATCTCTTGAATCACGGCGCTGAATATTGACGCAAAAATATTTCGGGCATCGCGCGCCCTTCCCGCGTCACGTGTAGGCATCTCGCATCTCTGATTGGTTGTTGCGTCTTAAGATGACTGAGCCGACGCGCGTTTAAACAATTTTTCTTTGTTCGATTTATCACACTTCACAGAGAATTGTCGCCAATGGCTACTTCTTTTTGTTGCAATATATAATACTTCACGGAGAATTGTCGCCTATGGCTTCTTGTTTATTTCTATGAACGAAAAAATTTAACTAAAACATTATATAAAGTTGGAAAGCAAGAATAGTCAAAGAGAATGCAAGTAACAGTCCGCCAACGTTTTAATAACTCATCAGTTACATTGTATTACTAGTATTATACTTAGTACCTTCCTAGGGCGTGGCGTTGCGGTACAAGGATGCGGTCCCAACTCTATACATGTAAGGACATTATATACCCCGTGCTTTTGCCATTAGGTTCATACAGGGTTCACACGAATATCATTACTTCTGTGATGGAAGTATTGTTTTGGGTGGCCTTTTATGGGGGGAATTATAGTTTTGAGTGGCGCCTCATTTTATGGGGAACTTTTGTTTGGGTGGCTTTTCTTTCGGGGGGTATTGTTTTGAACACCACTTCTTTTCTTTTGGGGGGTATTGTTTAGAACACCACTTCTTTTGGAAGGGCAGAAGTATCGTTTTGGGTGGTGGTTTTGTTGTTGATTTAAATACTGTTACCGAAATACCATAATCTGAAATTGTTGTAAATTGGTGTCATTACCATTTGAACTACAGGCTACTCCATGACAACAAGACTGACAACGCAGGCTGAAAAATAATGAGATTCAGCCAAATTGGAGAAATAATTTTCCAGCAAAGATTTTCCGAGGGAAACGTTACTCTTACCCAATACATTGTTTATACAGTGTACATCCTTTCAACTACAGTACAAAAATAGATCACTCTGGGGTGAAGTACAGTTTATACCGCTATAGACTACAAAGTGGTTTGGTTACATGTAGGTGTAGTATGTGTTTCTATGACAATACATATTTATTGGGTACCTTATACACAAAATACTTATGAATCAACAGTATTGCCCATTGAAAATCAGTAACAGTAACCTGATTCTATTATCTACGTATGTTAGAAAAAAATTTTTTAAATTTTTTTGGAAAAATTTGATGCAAAAAGACACAATATATTGCGTTTCTGTGACAATACCTATAATAGGGTACATGTATCTTATAAAAGATGAGGAATCATGAACAATATTGGCTGCTGTTCACAAGCTACTACCTGATTCTATGGTCTATGTTAGGGTTACAATGAGTTTTTCTTTACAATTCTTATGCAAAAAGAGAGTGTACAGTAAATTTGTGTGCCTGATGTAGCTGTATACTTATGTTTATTGCCACATAGAAAATGTGTAAATGTAACAAACAGGAACAAACAGGTTGCCAGTCATGATAGGTACACTGTGGGGAATACATGTATGAATGTTGAGATAAAAAATAGGTAAGCATGTTTTGTATATCAGAGTGTACTTTTTGGGTTGAAATGATTTGAAATTCAGTTATGTTGTCCACCTATTCAACTTTGTTTCTGAAAAACATTGAGATTTTGATTTTGCTGATGCCTAAGAAAAAATTGGGAAGTTATTCAAGATCTGTATTGTATTCCTAGTGACTATCATGTCCAGGCCTCAGATGTCCCCAATATTGCATACACTGGGTGGAAGTACAACATGTACTACTAATATGTGTGAACTCTCTACTATGTGTGAACTGAAATCTCTCTACACTACAGTGCAATGATGTCATCTTCCTCTTCCTCCTCTGTTGCCGTTTGGCGAACCTTTTTCGCCGCGGGCTGATCGCTGCTGTCCGATGTCTTCCGTTTGACTCCGGTTGTAGCTTTGCTTGGTGGAGTCTTGTCTTCTTCTTCTTCTACTTCTACAATCATCAGTTCCTCTTCTTCTACATCTGAAGCAAGAAAAATCTCGTGAATTTTGAAACCCCTGAAACATTATTTTAATACTCCAACACTTATGGTGTGGAGTATGTTCCTACCTTTTTGTTAGAAGTACTTCTTGAGAGTAAATAGAGGTAAAAACAAACAAACAAACAAACCTTTGGAGGTGCCAGGTTGTGGTTCTGTTGGGCCGTTTGCACTGGTACTGGGCTGGGGTGTGTTAGGTTGAGGACCTGGCTCCGGTGTCTGTCCAACAACTGCAAACTCTTTATCCTCTTCTAACTGATCCCTGTTATCATACATGTGTATGTAATTGGTGATTAGTGCTGTGCCCCTAAACCAAGGCTGAAAATCCTATTTTCTTCACACATGTACATTTGTACCTGCACTGATGCAGGTAAGGTAACGTTGAAAATTACCTGCACCAGACAAATTTTACTGCACCACTCAGGATTTAGGAAATATGGATAACACTAAACACTGTTGAGAAACCATTGCCATTATTTTATTTTAAATAGTATACATGTACATGTAGTTTAGAGGGGTTAAAAGTGCATAAGCTCCCAGTGTTTCGAGTCTTGTATGCTTGATATGGACATGAGGAAAAGACTTACACATGGATGACATTGATGACCAGTTCATAGTTCTGGAGGAAGTCGTCGGCCTTCAGTCGAGAGCCACTCCTGATTCCAAACTCACTCAGGTGTTTGTTGTTGTTAGCTGAAGATAATTCACACATTCACAAAGTTATGTCCATTGTCTTTTTTTGTTCCTGTTACAACAATAAATCCTGAAGTAATCACAACAGTCTTAATCTTAGAACAGTCTGAGTCTTTTTAAACTTCATTGGGGTTTAGAAACTTGCAAAGTCATTTATTCTGCAACAGATATGAGATTATTAAAACATCTCACCTTCTGTCTCCCCTTCTTCACTAGATATAAGGATGGTCCCTGAAAATAAGTTTGGTGAAAAAAGTTCACTTGCGAAAACAGCTGAAAGTAACATGAAATCTGCTGTATCAAAATTACTGGGGATGCACAAGCAAATTAAAACACAGAAAATAAACTCTCTATACAGAGAGATAAAAACAAATATGGGAATATCTAATAGTTGAATTAAAATGTCTGTTGAACTTCACTGATGTTCCTTACCTTTCCCATCGTCTATTTCCACATCAGGTGCAACCATCCCAAACTGGCCTTTGATAATCTGCAGAAAACAAAAGCAATTTGTTTATCGAAGGACATTTTAACAAATGTGACCTCAAACTCGGCCACTAAAACCCCTTTCTTCCTTTTTTTTTTAACAACGGACTACATATTTGTACAATGAACCCAGGTCAGAAGAAATGAGATGTGCACAGTTTACAGCAGTGTCTTAAAGGCATGTGAGAAACACCTTGTCTTCCAGAGTCTTGACGGTGAGGGTGTTGATGTTGAGTTGTACGGACACCTCAGGCTTGGCCGAGCACACGTAACACTTGGGGTTGGGCGGGACCAGCTTACAGGGCACCAGGAGCTTCTTCCTGGGGTTGGGTTGTCTGTTCAGAAACACCTGAAAAACAACAGGAACAATTAAACTGCAACTAGAACTCCATTTCATTCCCCCATACAAAATTTTGAGTGCCGTAACAATTTTTTGTGGTACCTAAACATACATTAGTGGAGGTAAAATTGGGGCTGTGCAGGTATTTCTGATGTCTACCTGTACCTAACCTGCACTGGTCCATGTACTGGGTATATGCAGGTTAGTGCAGGTAAAATTGGAGCTGTGCAGGTATTTCTGATGTCTACCTGCACCTAACCTGCACTGGTCCATGTACTGGGTTTATAGATACATGAAGGTGTACATAGATTTTTATTTGCTGCATTGACTGTTTCCACCAATATTAAGTAAAAAAATGAAATAATGGCAATGGTTTCTGAAAAGTTTTCAAAACTTACAGTTTTACATTTGTTGATGTTCCCAGAAAGTATCTTGAGTGCCTCCATAACTATTAGACCAGCTATAACTGCATTTGTAGTGGCAATAGCTGGTATAATGTTCCCTGCCATAGCTGCAAAAACATGTCAACAAATTAGCATTAAAAACCATGTGTAAACACATAACATCAAATACAATAACTGTAATTCACTTTATCTTCGTGGTAGCAAAAGTTTGCATGCAGTCTGAGAAAATGTTAGCAGTGGCAGAAGGTGCAGAAAAAAGAAAGTCGCCAAATAATTTGTTCACGGTACATGTAATTATAAGTTTACGGTGCAGAAGTGACCGCCAAAGCTGCGAATATAAAAGTACCTCAGAAATCGTGAATTTAAATATGAACAAGACTTCTGGGAGCATTTTGGGCTTTCATCAATTCATTGGAAAAACTGAGGAGGTTGTATGACATACTTTCATCATACTTTAATAGTGACTAGGCTCCTGGCCTTCAAGTTCACCCTAATTTTCCTGTTTTTCTTTTGGTTTATATCTTGAAATGTCAGTAAAAGGAAAGGGATGAAGAAAACACAGAAAATTGCTGAAAAGGCTGGCTTACACTTGATGTCAAACCTGGTCTTGGTTTGGATCCCAAAGATGTGTGCCCGGATGTTGGCAGCACAGGTTACAAAGTCCATGGACGCCTCATCATCCTAAGACATGGCATAAACAACAATCATAATGTGCTACTACAATACATTGTAATTACTACTGCTACAATGTACTACAGTAATTACTACTGCAACTGCAACTTCTACAATATTACTGCTACCACCACTACTACTGAATAGTACATTCTAAAAACTACAACTACAGCTACAACTGCATGTACCATGTGACAGTAACTACGTACTACAGTATCCACTACTACTATGACTGTAACTACATGTATTAACTCTACTTCTACTACTTCTACTATATGACATTGTACAACTACAGTACAGTAAAGTAACTACAGTAACTGCTAATAAAATTACAACTACTACTGTATGACTAGTACTGTACAAGTACAATAACATGTAATTACTACCACAACAGTACTATGTTTACTAGAACTTCTACTACAGTGACTTCTACATTCATTTGGCGCCCTTTTCTACTTTTTCTTAGTGACCTTGATATCAGCTTGACTCACCTTGTCCCACACTAGCTCCGCCCCGTCTCCCCTGGCAGCCAGCTGTTCTTTCAGCTGTTCAATGCTGTCCCTGAAGACAGCAGCACACCTCCTGATGCTCCACAGCTGCTGGTCCTGGATGCGAGCATTGCTGTCCGCCTCAGCTGTCCCATCTGAAATCATGGAAAATGGCAACTATGTGTTTACAAATGCAGCACTAACTTCTTCTGGGAGGTTGCACCAATATCAATATAGAGTGTTAACAAATGTAGGACTAGCTTTCTTCTGGAGGGATGAACCAATGTAGAGTGTTAAAAAATGCAGGACTAACTTTCTTCTTGGAGGTTGAACAAATGTAGAGTGTTAACAAATGTAGGGCTATCTTTCTAATAGGAGGTTGAGCCAATGTAGAGTGTTACCAAATGTAGGACTAGCTTTCTTTTGGAGGTTGAATCTATGTAGAGTGTTAACAAATGTAGGACTAGCTTTCTTCTGAGAGCGTTGAACAAATGTAGAGTGTTAACAAATGCAGGACTAACTTTCTTCTGGCAGGTTGTTCCAGTCTAGCGGCGTTGGTGGTCGTCTCTTTTGCCACAACTTCTCCATGGACAGTAAGTACTTGACATCATCATGAAACAACTGTGGACAGAATAAAAGAGAATACACTATATCCAGATTCTATTAATTTCATCTTATTCACATTTATTTCTACAGGGTCAAAAGTATACATACCGGTACTTATCGAGGCCCTGCCCTCTTCACATATACAGGTAAAAGTAACATCAATGAAACAAACAAGGTACAAATAACAAGAAATAACCATTTCTGTTTCCTTTCTTTTGAAAGAGGTGCATTAGGGTGTTGTCGGTGGCTATATCCTGATACAATGCTAACATAAAACCATTGCACAATTTCCTAAAGTTTCTTGATTTCCCATACTTGTGTCCTACCTTGTGGAATAACTTGGCTGCGTCATACCCAGTTGAGACAGCCCATGCCCGTGTGGACGTCCTCTGTATGCCTCCACCAATCGCATTTTCTCCTGCCTCCTTTTGTAAGGCTCTCTCTCCAGCCTCTCCTGTAAGTTTATTAAAGGCATTCAATTATATTTCAAGGTGGCAAAACTGGATTTTCAAAGCTCTCACTCTTATAATATGTGTAATCAGTGTATGTATGTTTTATTGTACCATGTATGTGTTAAATATGTGTACTGTATAGATATATTTAGGATCAATGATGTAAACTTGATCTTTTTGACATATTTTGTCTGACCCTTACCTCTTCCCTCATGACGTCAATGAAAAGCAGCCTGCAGGCCGATTTGAGCTTTTGACATGAATAAAGAATGGTTCAAACAAATTTCCTCGTCATTCTTTTAATGTAGTAACTTCAATCAATCCTATCCCATAGCATACTGATATCTGTAAGGCAAAAATGTCACTGACTGAAAACAGTTTCTTGTTTTATATCTCAGAAAACAAACAAACAAACAAACAACTGTACCTGCTAGTTCTGGGTCTTCTGTGTCTGGAGACACGTCCTGGTCTGCATCCTCCTCACCAAACAGCTGACTAGAACACACAGAAAACATCACAATCATTCTCTTACTTTCATGGAACAACACCCTACAATTCTAATTATAGGGATAGAAATCCTTTTCTCTGAACAGCTTTAGTATTACAAATGCTTCCTAAAGTCTGTGTGGTGCAGGAAAGGAAAGCGATCTCGATCCAGTTTTAGCTCACTGAAGAGCTAATCTCCTTATTAACTGGTCAACGTCATGAAGAAGATAGATGCTATGTAAAGTTAGTATTCACAGATTTATTGTACTGGGGAAATACCCCTAGCTCTTTTCGACAGCTCCCTTTGGCATAACACAACAGCTAAAATGAGCAGTAGAAAAAATCAAGGGTTCTCGGGAAAACAAGTTTAAGTTACATTTCTTTGCTAAAATCTCCAAAAGGTGTAAAAAAAAGACTGTATGACCTACTTGAAGAGATACTTGGCCCACACGATACAGTGGATGGGTTCGGAGGGCGTGTTTCTGATGGTGCATCCTGGGTAGGTCTTCTGCGGAGGTTTGGGCTCGCACTCGTAACATTCTGTCAGTCCCTGTGTCAGTAAATATAACAAAGATCAGATTCTAACATTTGCGCCCCCTATCTCTTCAGAGCATAAGTGCACGAGGACAACTTGCACAAAGAAAGCTTGACTTTGTATGCTGCTGGCATACGTGCGGGTTTACTGATGCTGCCTGAATAGGACATGAAGTTTGAAGCAAGGCAGGCTGTATTAGAAATCTTACTAAGTAGGGGCATTGTCAATAGATAGCTTTAAACAATGTCTAGAGCTAGAAGTTCAAGGGTTAGGTGTAACAAGTCGATCGGTGTAATATAGCCGGCTGCCGCCGCGCCGCGTGCCTGCGAAGCTGGTGTGTTACGCCGAAAGGCGGTTATACCGGCTATACAGATACAGATACTCTTATGTCTGGTACATGGCACTGGTACATGTACCTACCCCGACTAGAACTTCTAGTCGGGGTAGGTACATGTACCAGTGCCATGTACCAGACATAAGAGTAAGATTTCTAATACAGCCTGCCTTGCTTCAATCTTCTAGTAGAAGCCATTCTGCCCCTACCTTCTTGATAACAGTGACCTGCCCCAGGTATCCAGCGGTGCCACTTTCCACCAACGGGACGTCAGCAGCCAGGCACATACGGTTCACATGGTTACGGGCAGCTGGAGGGGGGAAAAAATTACTGTCTGTAATCTCCTGTTTAAAGATATACCTGCCTGCCTACCTGCCTATGTGCACAGGCCAGGTACTGGCCCCTTGCTCCCCTCCGTCAGGTACTTCCATCCAGCTCTATTAAGGGCAATAGTCTCTGCTACACTTAGGGTAATCCCTGTGTCACTCTTTATCTGGTCTTTCCACCTATTGGGTGGTCTTCCCCGGGGTCTAGGTATACTTGTACTTGTAATGGAGATTTCTATGTCGAGTCCCCTCTTCCATTGCAAAATTAAAGGCATCCAATACAATTTCTGCACCATAAAACAAGAATATTCTGGACAAGGGAATCTGTCTGATGTCGAGTTTGAAAATCCATTTTTTTTGCCCTAAAATCGCATTGGATGCCTTTTAAACAATGAAAGATCAATAAAAGACTTTACCATGGGATGTGATGGCTTACCTCTGTTATCAAGAGCATTCAAGACCAAGGTAAACTTCTTGAAGAAGTCCACTCCATAGTCTGGACTGAAAAACAGCAACAAACAATAAAGTAAATTTGTAAATATTTGTGATTTATCAAATATAATTGCGAGGATGATAAGATATAATTTAATTTAATTCAAACGAACAAATTATAAAAGAGGAATAGCATACTTGGTAATGCTGTCATGATAGGCTATGATCTTGCAATCTGGGTTGAATCTTAGGGCGCTATCCTTGGCCACCTGAAAGACAAAGACACATATTATATTATATTTACTAGTAATCAATTTAATCATAATTGCTAAACTACATTTCTTCCAAAATCATATCCAGTTGCTTAAGTACTAGTAACTTTTTTTTTTTTGGTATATCTTATTACATGAATGTCTAACCTTCGCCAACGAAGCAGTTTAATCAGTTTACCATTTATGCAAAGCAAACAAACAAACCTGTGCCTTGGACTTGCCCACATGTTGCTTTTGAAAGAGGAACTGTCGGTTCAGATTGCTGACATCGATGGTATCCAAGTCAATCTGTGAAAAAAAAAGATTCCCACAAAACAGGTCACTACTAAAGCATCCTTGACTTCCATTATGCTATGATTTTATACATGTATAGAATGACTAAGTGCTCGAAAATCTGCATACACACACACATGTAACGTTACCTACTCTGGTGCATAAAATTACCTGCACTAGACAATTTTTTTTATTACCTGCACCACTAAGAATTTCAACAAGAAGCCATAGGCGACAATTCTCCGTGAAGTATTATATATTGCAACAAAAAGAAGTAGCCATTGGCGACAATTCTCTGTGAAGTGTGATAAATCGAACAAAGAAAAATTGTTTAAACGCGCGTCGGCTCAGTCATCTTAAGACGCAACAACCAATCAGAGATGCGAGATGCCTACACGTGACGCGGGAAGGGCGCGCGATGCCCGAAATATTTTTGCGTCAATATTCAGCGCCGTGATTCAAGAGATTAATACCCGGAAACAATTTTTTTCTTGTTTTGAACGCATTAACATGCATTTACGCTAATCTAGTATGATTCAGGGTTACTTTTTTTTTAACCTGCCATGGCCAGATTATCTAAAGATGTGTGTATTGTGTGTACAA